CACACATATAATTTATTCTCGTGATGTGTGAATAAGTTCCAAGATACTTTGGAAGTGTTATCGCGAAAAGCTAAAGTCTAAAGGTTATGTTGATACAGGGCAAGATCCTGAATCTGCATTCAGCAATACCTGAAACCATAGCCAAGGAAAGGTTATGGAGTAACATAAGCAGTATTTTCAGCGAGTACAAACATTGATAAGAGCTTAATTTAATTGTCAGGTTAGCTAAATCTGGAACACCGTACAACAGCCATATCAAGTTGTGGGTCTCGGCGTCTTTTAACAAACAATTCAGTAATATCAATTGCGGAAGAAACGTGAACTGATGGCGTGAGCTGTTCTAATGTTGTAGAGAAAGTTGGCTCAAATATTTTTGCTTCTCCTCTTCTCATGTTTGTCATTTCTTCCTTAATTGTAGTGAGCTGCATTTCACTTGAAGTTGCAGACTGCATAGTAGTTTGAGGGCTCCAAAGCTGTGGGACAGAAACTTGCAGTGGTTTTAAACCCTGCTAGAAGCAGTATACAAGTAAGTAACCAAATGATTAGTTGTCACCCACATCACTTCGTGCCAGACGAACGCGCTCTTCTGCTGCAACACAGTGAATGCTAATAATCAGCTATTGCAGCAGAGTCCTTTCAGGGACATATTGAGTCCAAGTCGCCAGATGATTTCCATTGTACTGCTGTCTGGCATGCAGCTGGCTGGTGTTCTGCCAGATCCACACAGCTGTGACTAGAAAGTTACATACCACACCACAAAACTGTTCTTATTCCAAGACAGACACCTATAATGATCATTTAAAGACACTACCAAGTCTGAGTGCAGGAAGTCTGGAAGTCAAAAGGAAGCCACTACAGACCTAAAGTTGCTTTTATCCCTGGTCTCCGCAGAGGGAACATGCATGTGGTGACTAGGAAGGGGTTACCTGTGTATGTTAGAAAACTCAACAGTGACTTGATCAAGAAGCACCATGTCTACAGTATAGAAAGTGAGCTTTACAAACATTCAGTAGAACAGTCAAATAGATGACCTGATCTAGAACCATATCCCAATAAGACAAGCCAGAAGACAGCTCACTGACATTCTGCACAGGAGCAAAACACCTAGCAGACAGCTTCAGGTCAGCACTTGCGAAGAAGTTCCAGTCAAGGTTTCCCAACATCTCCACTTCTCACACAGTCCATTCATGTCATTTGGAGAATTACCTTAAATCTTTTATTACTTCTGTGAATTCCCATATTAAGCTGAAGGAAGCAAAAGCCAAGCTAGCCCAATTTAATCCCAGAAAGAATTACTGTCAGCAAACATAAGATGGCAAAAGGCCACTGAGTAAAACTCAACAGCAAACTGTACTATATTCGTGACATTTCCTTCTTACAATTTGAAGAATGCAGAAAATGTGTGTCTCTTCTGAGTTTCTGAAACACTCAAGTTGATGTTAACAAAGGATGTTACAACACTAGCTGTTTGACACACACACACTTGAATCAAAAGCTTCAATGCCAAAATGCTGACCTCAGAAGCTAATTTTTCCACTGTTACCATCCAGTGTCTCAGGCATTCAATAACCAGAATCTGTTTTCCACATGTTAGGCACCTGTCCTAAATGCCCCAGGGCTGGCTACTCAACTGTGCTTTCTTTTCTCTTTTTCACAAAAAGTTTGCAATGCCAGTTTTGTTTCTATCACATTGAGTATTGGAATTCTTTCTCAAGCCAATTTTCTTTTCCAGCCGTCTCAAGTTCTAAGCTGTGACTAACTTCCACAAACATTTAGGCACAAAACAGTGTGTATAGCAAGTTAACATGTAGTACTTGTGAAGACACTTTAATAGGATATACACTAAGCATGAGTAACATTAAGTGCTTCTACGCTGTTTTCCTATCAACTACAATAAGAACAACCCAATAATGCGCTAGTTCATTTCACACTGCTATTTTCCCTCTGCATAGCCTGTCAAGTGACATACATGTTGTTGCTGGCTCTCCATTCCCACCTGAGAAGAATAATCATGGAAGTTCTGACAGATAAGCTGCCTTAGTCCATCCAGTTCCAGGTTCTCCTTCCCGGTGATCCTTGCAGCAGCAGTGGCCTGAAATGCACTCAGCTCCGCAGGGAAAATCCCAAGGGCTCACAGCTCTCAGCAACCCATGGTCCTTTCCAGCGATGATAAAAGGTTTCAAATTTCAAGCTCTGCATCTCCCTTACGCCTGTATCACCTTCCTGGACACATATAAACATACCCAATAGCACTGGTTTTGCTGGACTACCAGCACTTCACATTATGTCAAGTCAGAAGATGATACAAGATCTTCAGCTTCTTGCCGCTACCTCACATCAGATGATAGAAACTAGTTAGGTATTTAGTCAAGTGCTGCTTTCAGCAGAGAACCCTTAAGCCTCCGAAACAAAAGAAATACTCTGGGTGACTACTTGGCTACAGTCCATATACAACAGCATTTACTAACCTGAGACATATGTCACACAGCAAAAAAAAAAAAGCAGAAAAAGACCACAATTCCAACTCAAAGGTTGTTAATACCGTAGTAGACATCTTCAGTAGGAACTGTCACTTCCTACGAAAGTAAAATTATTTTTTTTGTTTTAAACAGTCTGTATTGGTAACATCAACAATTCATCTCACCGTAACTCAAGAAGTCAACATTCAGTAGTCAGAAACCTGAGTGAACAGTGATCACACTCCATATTTGCACTGTAGACACGTTACAGTAAGGAAGTGAAACTTCTGCTCTAACTAGATCAAGACAGACTCTCACCCAAACGCTGGAAATGCACTCAAGGTATTAAACCTCTGTTCCAATTTCTATTCACTCATCTTTTCTTTGGTGCCCTGATTAAGGTAGGCATGTGGTTTACTTCTCGGTTAAATGTTTTACAATCGAAAGGAACAAACCAGAAGGATCATATTATACAGAAATGTTCAGCATGAGAGGAAATCAAAATATTAGGGACATTTGTCAAGTATATCCTAGAAAGTCCTCAACTAGAAATAAAACATGTCTACATCAGCACCATTCTCCTTTTCTTAGTTGTCTTACAATACCTCATTTCAAGACATTTCCAAGAACAGTTCCGTGGGGAAAACAAACCAGCTTTTTAAAGGTGTATCTTCAGATGTAAAGATTTATCATAGCAGATTTGTTTGCTAAATGCAATTCACTGTTAACACAGAATTAAGAATACCTTCCTTGACATCAAGCCATTATGTAAATTTCTTCAAATTCCAGTTATGACTCAGTAGAAAAAAGGCTAATGAAAAACATAATTTTTTTTTTCCTGTGAAACAGTTAACAGCTCACAACCAACTCAACATTTCTCAAGCAGTCTGGTTTTTCAGCCATGATGGAATTTGATTTTTTTTTTTTTTTCCCTTAGAAGGCATCTCTCCTTGTTTTTTAGTATGTCAAGAATGAAAGCTTGAATTCAAAGTAACAAAAATAAAACATATGACATAATACAGCGAGACCATTCAGGACAACCTAAGCTGTATTATAACTATCTGGAAAACAATAATGAGCAAATACATTTCTAAGACATAAGATGAGGAAAGAAAAAAAATCCCTAGACACATGCGTACGAATACTCAAAACAGGAGATTAAGCACCTGATAGTCACCATCTCAGATAAAGTATAACTATTACTGCTCGTTTTGCATGTGAATTTACGCTCACCTTTAAAACAAAGCAACCTCTTTAATGAAGACTCTAAGATAAATCCTTCTAAACTGCCACCTATAGACTGCACCTACAGAGCAAACATCTTCACTCAAGAAATGCTTTCACACTGTATGGAACAACTGAATATTAACAGGATGATAGAAGGTAAACTTGTCCTTTCCGAATGACCAGAACAAAAAGAGAAACTAAGAACACAGTAATACACCAAGCAGAATAAATTCAAGTCTTTCTAACAATATGAGCAGACACAGATACAGAAGTATTTTTATAAACTGCCTTGCAGAATACCACAGCATTATCCTGGTAACTCTTCACCACATATTGTACGAGAGCTCTTGCGAGCATTAAGCAGCCCCAGTTAACAATCTTCGGGAATGCAGGATGAAAGTGAAAGGAAACACGGATGCTAACTTAGGTTGACCCCAAATGATTTATTTTAAGGCATTTTATCTGAGCTTTTGAACTTCTCTAAGAATAGTTTTTAAAAGTCATGTTAAGGCACCTTTATCACAGAAGCACTGTCAAGAAAATGTAGACAGGCGCCTAAGTGGCTCCATCAGTAACCAAAGGTCTTTTTAGCATTTAACTGTCACGTAGGCTTTAGTTTGGCACAGGTACCAAAAAAAATTATTAAAGTGCTGATCAAGCAAACATTAAAACTGGCAATTAAGTTAGAGGATGATGCAGTTCCACATTCACAGTCAATTTTCACATACTATGTTATTTTTAGTTCCATCCAAGGTAAAAATAGCCAAAGCCGAACTGCAAAACAATAACAAATCCCCCCCTGCCCTCAAGTGTACAGATTACAAAATATTTTGTTTGTTTTGACATAATTTGTACCAAACCTATGCATTAAATGCAGCAGAAGCTTACAGGCTTAACTTGGCTGGAGAACTGAACTAAAGGAACAGCACGAGTTGGAAGCAGACTACAGGGAAGTAGCAAAATTTAGTCTTAGCAAGTAATATGCCTCTAGCAAAAGCACTTCTGGTTCTACTCAAGTGATTCACACTGCACTGGTCCAATGTATTCGCACTGCGAAGACTACATAATCCGTACACTGTACGAGTACCAGGAATTTGATGCAGAAGTGGTTTTTTTTAATTGGAGGTAATAAACACACTAAAAAATCTCTTCAACACCAATCTACTGTCGTGAGGCATTCAATACCTTTATCATTCTTTGGTCATTTAACTGGATGTACATACTTCAACAGATACACAGAGAAAGAGATATCCGTATGTATGTATACATATATATATATATATACGAGGTAGTGATGTTACAGATGTAACTTGCCTGGGTGAGAAATGAAAGGAACAGAACCAAAGGGATCTTCAGGAGGATTTTTCTGTGGAGCAGAGTGTGGCTCCACATTGTTATCTGAAGATGCTCTCCTGTCCACTAGCCTGTCTGTAAAAAAACAAAATGAAAGAGAACAAAAAATAAAATAAAATAAAAATGGCAGGTCTTACGCCAATGCAAAGATATCTACTGTACAAGGTGAGGGAGGAATATGCTCTCTGTTAGGGGTTTTTTGATGTTTTGAAAGTATCCTACATCTTGAATTCTTACTTCTTGATCATACAGGAAAGTACACCTGCACAAACCTATTGTTAATCCCCCTGTCCCACCAAGAGCAGCACGTATTTGGTGATGGAAAGCTTTAAATGAGAATCTCTCTTACATGTTTTACATAGCCTACATGCTCTGTAATAGAAACTACTAGTCCTCTGTGCTCTTGATGTTTTCAAGTCAGAATCACTATGCTTATCTAAATCATCCATTTTATCCAAGTTTTGGCCAGCCTTTGACACAAAAAGAGAAAAGTTGTCCATCATAGCAAAATAGCCGGGAGTACTTTTTATTAAACATGTAACGTGTTTAGTGAGCATGGATGATGGTTGGAAGTCGATGATCTTGAAGGTCTTTTCCAACCTAAATGATTCTACGATTCTAACATCTCTTAGTAGTTAAAAACAATTTGAGTTTCATATAATGTAGAGAAGTGTAATGTCTGTTTTATATGGTCCCTTAGGAGACTGATTTTTTTTTTCTTTTGAGAAGAGACATACTGAAACCTTTTAACACAGTCAAAAATTAGAAGCACTAGGAATGGTAAATACAAGGGGGTTTTATCTAAGCTCTTATTCTAACTTTGCTGCCAACTTCAGATGCAGACCAGCTAGCCCACCCACCACAGTGCAACTCAGGAGGGTCCAGCAAGGCCCATCAGCCACTTAACAACACCAGTGTGACAAAGTGTTCCACCTTCAGCTATTATCCTACATCTTCTATGCAGAAAACACAGCATTTTGCTTTCCCCCTTTTTCACAGCAAGCAGCTGCTCATCCAAACAATTTGCAGCACAACCTTCCTGACAATTTGCAGCTGTAGAGATACAGCTGAACTGTGCCCTAACTACATATCAGGCTACCTGCACATTTTCTATTGAGTCCTTCAATGCAGCAACCAGGAAGCTTTACTGAGACAACCACCAGGGACTAGACAGGAAGCTGATCTGCTTCAGACAGATGCATATTAACCCTGTGTAGAAACCTCAAGAGTTTTGAAATTACATGCCAGTTTTCGCAGACAAGGATTCTGTTAATATTCAAGCGTCTGTAATGTCAATTGTCTTAACTGCTTACCCACTGTTAGACTGTCCAAAAAATACCAGTCAGAGTTGTTCCATTACAGGCAACCCCTGTTTAAAATATAATGCCAGCTGGGGGCTCCTGATGCAGGAGATTAAGTAGTTGCTCTCACCTCAACATATACATATACAAATAGGCAGAAAGTAACCCACCCGAACATAATTACCCTACATTGACACAGCCATGCAGAAGAAAAAACTATCCAAGAGGCACAAAAGACTAGCAGCTGTATGTTTTATACCATAAGCTTTGAGCCTTGAAGACAAACAACTGCCAAACATCACATCCAACAGCAGTACTTCTTCCTGATTGTGAACAGTCATACCCTCATTGCTTTCTCTCCTCAGGTAGGAATGGTTCAGGGTTTGGGGTTTGTTTTTTTTTTATTTGGGGGGGGACGGGACGTTGGGTGTGTGTGTTTGAGGGTGGGGAAGCTTGGCTCTGGGGTTTTTTTTTTTTGAGGAAGGGGTGTGCGGGTTCTTTTGAGTTTTGTCTTAAAAGAAACATACGTAACCTTCAACTTGCATCTTTACAGATGCAGACTGAGCGAGGGATGCTTTTGTTCTATTATCCCTAGCATCTTGCCTCCAGAGAAAAAGCGGTTGACTGCTGCACAGTTTGCACGCAATCAAACTCTGGAGTAACTTCTAATAGTGCACCAACTTGAACTACCCTTTGGAGAGTCCCTGCAAATGCTGGCATGCAAGACTATGTAATTTCAAAGCCTCCAGATGATGATCAGATCTCTGAGCTTCAGCAGCAGTGCTAGGGATAGCAGAAAACAAAATGTATTGAAATGCTAAGCATGCAAGAAAAACTAGGTTAAGTGAGCAAATACAAGGTTTCAACTCCTGCAAGGCACCTAAGCATATACATACTGGCACATATTTCCCTCTAAAATAAAGTTTAAAACTTCTCAATCCATCAAATGCAAGGCTATTGGAAAACGATAAGCCATTCTTTCAGTCTTCTGCCGCAAAGTGTCATTTGTCTACCTCATAACAAGATCCATTTCTTTAACAGAGAATGTTTGTGAGAAAAGACACAGTGATGCTTTCTCCAGCTTCACACAAGCAGAAGTAGATTAAGTGGGATTGTCAGTATTAGAATTTATTGTGCTTCAGAAACAACTTCCTTAAAATAAAGATCCAAGGTTTTTTTCCCCGTCAGTGAATAACCACACGAATTCAGCCCAGACTGCTGCCAGAGACACAATCACACGCCACATGGCACAGCAGACCCTTACATAGAAAAGTGCAGTTATTTAAAACCACAAACAAAGAATCTGCCTGTTTCCATGCAAGTGACAGGTCCAAGATTCCTCATGAGACAGCTCTCAGGACATTGAGAAGTACGAGATGCACTTGCACACAAAGAAAGCCTGCTAAGAACCACAGCTCTTTCCTGCACGGATGGCCTAGGTAGCTCCTTTGTACAGTACATACCACAAAGGAGATGGGCAGAGAGCTTTGTAGGCTTTGCACCACCCACAGGTGTCTCACTTGAAACACCCAGATGATTCTGGGCCTAACAAGAAGCTTTGTGCAATTCAGTCTGAAGGCTACACTAGCATGTTTTCACCGGTGAGAAACCCAACTCATTTTCTCAGCTCCCAATTCTGCACAGATTATTAAGTGGTTACAGGAGCTCTTTGTAAGAAATCCATTCCTTCACAACATTCTCAGAATCTCAGCATCACATGCTGCTTCTAGACCCTCATTAATATCGATGATGGTAACAGTAACAGAGAAACAGCAGCGTACACAAGAACGAGGAACTCCATCCTTTAACTCCATATCAAAGTTCTCCACAAAGATGCTCAATTCAGAAATCTTCATTCAATTGCGCATTATGTTTTATGCAACTGTCATCTATCTTGTCACTGTGAAAACTTTCACAAAGTCTAAGCAAGGTATTCTGTTCTATGAGTTAGCTCCCTTTTCCTTCATAAAGTGATTAGTCATCACAGCAATACTCATTACTACACATACTATGACATGAACCTACTAAATGCATGAAATCAAATGGTAATGTTAGCCTGACAAATTATGATGACATCCTGATCCTCTAACAAAGGCTGTGTACGTTTAATTACTGATATATTACTGTCATGAACACAACAACTTCAAAAATATTTGACACATTTAAAAATATTTTTAATTTATGTACAAAGCATCAGCTCTACCATACAAAACAGGCTTTTGGAAGAGGAAAGAAAGAATTAGTATTTTGAATGCTACGCAGCACCACGTAACATTGCAAACAGACAAACTTGCATAACACTGTACATGACTTAGGAAGTACAGGACAGCAACTAGGTTTAGTAACAGAAAATACAACAATTCATCAAACCTTCATCTCCAATTCTCCTTCCTCTAAACGGCAAAGTGATTCATAGTAACTCAGAAATTGAGCAAAAGCAATTACTTCGTAGTAAACCCCAGTTTTCTCTCATAAGAGATAACCTACATCTTAAAAGAATTACGCCTTGAAACTTAAGATATATCTGAGGAAATTCCAGGAAGCATTATACAGTTCAAGACAATTTTATATGTATAAGCCTTAATTTCACAATAAATTTCCCAATTTCTCATTAATCCACCTATGTTTGAGAAAGTGCCAGTAGACAAAATTAAGTAGAAATGTTTCTTCTTTGACTGCCGTGAAGGCATTAACACTGCAAAGTAAGTTCATACGATCTTTGGCACAACATCGTTAATATCAAAAAAGAAAGTTAAAAGGTCTCTGAAGTCTCTGATGTATGTACCTATGTGTGAACACAAACACACATACACTGAGATTAGAACTAGTAACACTCCCCCTCCATGAGCCTCTAAGAGAAATCAAGCCAAAAGGCCTAAGAGAAGTTGTAACTGCGTCTCATGATATGTATGAACAAGCCTGCCATCTAGTGTACTATCAGTCAAGCTAGTAAGTTTTTCTTATTTTTATGTTTTCTGTATTCAAGTCACTAAAACCCTAACGCTAGTTATTACTAAGCAAAACTACAGTGTTATGTTTACTTTGCTGATATAGCACATAAAGTTCATTATCACATCCAGCTCTTCTGTGCATTGTATTATCTTTATTAAGAGGTGAGCCAAAACTATGCCTAAGGAGATTTAGTCTTCAAAAACTTCAGACCATTTTTACACATGTAGTACAAAAACTGGATAATGGAATTCTAGTAGTAGTCAACTGTTCTTTCTGCTGGAGATGTGGAGACAGCAGTTAGTGGCATTAGGCTCCAAGTTACTCTAGCCTTTAGTAAGTCTAACTGCATGCGAGTCAGCATTTTCACCAAAAAGGTTGGATTATCAAACACTGGAACAGGTTACCCAGGGAAGTGGCCGAGTCACCGTCCTTGGAGGTATTTAAGAGATGTGTAGATGTGGCACTTACGGACATCATTAGTGGGGGGACTCGGTAATGATAGGTTAACAGTTGGACTCTAGGATCTTAACGGTCTTTTCCAACCTAAATGATTCTATGATTTTCTATTTCCCCAGCTTACTATAACCAGTGTACTGAGCTACTCCAGGCAAGCCTATTTCTTGTACAGCATTTTCCATCTTTTTCATAAAGCCACTTGAAACATGTCTTTGGTTACTATCTTCTTATGAACTTATATTTATTCAAAACATGTGGCTTAACCAAATCATTCTGATGAAACTTACCGTAACTGCAGTCAGCAGTCCAACAGTCAGTTAAAGATTCTGTAAACAGGCAAGTTGAGCTGACCTTTTGGTTCAAGCTAACCTTCTCCAGATGCAAGAGTGTATTATTTCAAAAGACTTGTAAGGCTCAGTTGAAAGCAGCATGCCTAAAGATATTCAGTTCTACTACTAAATAATTTCCAATTCTAAACTTGGATTTGGAAAAAATGCTTTTTTTCCCGCTGGTACATTATCCATCTCCCCCAGCTATCAGTAAGTCATTTCACTGTAAAATGTGTGCATGCTACATCCTCATCTCAAAAATAGAAGTCTTACGTGATCAATGCAGGATACAAGTGAAAACAACGAACTAGAGTTTCACAAAAAAAAATTACCAGTCACTTTCCTTAACTATTAAGGGATAACACGCCCGTCCTGTTCACCTATGTTTAAGGACACAGAAGCCAAAAAGAGGAAGACTCAATTGAAGGCATTAGCTGGGGGTTTTTTCAGTTACTTGAAATTCAACTTCACTGCATTTTTAATTGCAAGGAACTTGCTGATAGTCAGCCAAAGTATATACAATCTGTTTTTTGACATTGTCACATCTTACAAGTCTCACTAATAAATCTGATCTTGACAAAACCAGTTTCAGGAAGAGCGTCTAATGGGTATGTGTTAAGCAATTAAGAGAAGTAAGTAATTCCAAGTAAAAACCATTGAGATAACTGACTTCAAGACAAAAGTTTATTCAACTATTGCGATATCAGAACAATAAAGCAGCCCTTACATGTAGCCATTCATCAAAAAGGACATTACAAAACATTAACATAATGTAATAGATAAATTTTCTTTCAGGCATTTTCAAAGGACTTATCAGACCCACAGAATCTTCTGCTCTGGTGTGCAAGAAAAAAAGCTGGAAAGGAACGAAGCAAGCAGCCCAAGTTTTCATCCTATCTGACAACATACCTCTGCTGTTCAGAGCTTCTTGACAATCAAGGTGACACAAGCAGTATTTGAGAGCTAAGATCTTAGCACTTCTACAGTATTTAAGCCAGTAACTACCAATTTCAGACAGTGAATTCCTATTGCACATATTTTCAAAGACAGAAAGGAAAGAAAGACGACAGGCCCGACTGTGCCCTCAAATGCTCAGAAAGAATTTTCCATATGCAGACTGCACGGCCCTTTGACAAGACAGGTGTTGGAAATGCTGAGCAACTACAGAGCCCTTATTTACTGTGAAGCAAGATAAGCCTTCAAGCGTCCCTTACTTGATCTTAGCAGGTCAAATTCTCTGTCCAGCAGCTCCTCCTCTGTCAACTTGGAAAAATTGTCCTCTCCAAATGGGTTCCAGCCTGACATATCAGGTGGGTTATTGATGCTCTGCTTTGGGTAACTGGCAATTGCTTCAGCATCAGGAATACCTGACCTGTAAAGTCAGTTCATGGAAGCAAACAAAGAGAAACGTTACAGGATTGTTTATCAGGGTGAAATTCTACGACATGTTTCATTATGCCAAAATAGTACGTATGAGTAACACACGTGTGTTAACAGCTTGTCCCAAAAGCATTTGAAAACTAATTCAAGGGACAACAGATCACTTAAAATATGTGGTTTGCTTGCATAGATGCAATACTCAGACTTTCTTTTTGAACTTATGCACTGTAGCCAAAGCACAGAATCCTTCATCAAGGTGACATGCAAGGGCAAAATCTGTATTTCACCTGTGAGCATTTTTGTATTGTCATAGGAGACTGCCTATTTTTCCTCAAAAAAAAAAAATGCCTACCAAGTATGTTTGAAGTTTTCATCTATTCTTTGTTTTCAAATTATTTTTTCGTGGCAGACACATTAAGTGTCTTTGAATCCTACATCCACCCAACTAGTACAATTAACTTAACCAGCTGACATCACAGCTTCTGCTTGTTTTACACAGATAAGGAAACCTTTGACCAGATGCCTTTTTCCTTTCATACATGTTTTCCCATATTATGCCTACCGCTTCTCTGTTTGCCTGAAGCACCCTAGAAAAGGGGCAATTAGCCAGTTACCGCATGCTAAATGGTTCTGAACCTCTCTATGTCTAGCCAGGCTCTGCAGGCCACTCCTGCAGCCCAGCTCCACGTGCAACTGTCTCTTCAAGACAAGAGAAAGGGGAAGGGGCTCCTTCCTGTCAGCTTAGGTACTGCCATCCCACTCGACTACTGGCTCTTTCTACTGAGAGAAGGACAACATGCAATACAATACAACGCATTTAGTGTGTCAAGGGAAAAGAAACTCAACACCCCTTCCTTTAATACAAGGAGTCATATTTTTTGTTTACCAGATCAACCTTATGCATTGCCAACCACTGCTAACCTGCGGTCATTGACTTTAAGCTAAACAGCAGGATCAAAATCTTCAGCCAAACACACAGAAGAGAAACTGGAAATACACATATTTACTTCCAGACTGGAATGACTCCTCTCAGAAATTATTTGTGACAAAAGTATTCTAGCAATAGACCTAACCGAAGTACAGCTGGTAGTTGTCATATAGAAGCACAGAAATGCAGGACAACACTCTCTGCTAGGGATTAGACTATCTAATTGGCAAGATGAAGCCACACTGGTCACAGTGATATATCTTATTACACCAATTCAGCCTACAGCAGGAAAATATTTTGCCTTTGACTCTTTCAACACACTGTAACCTAGAAGAGACTAGGAATGACAGCAGCACCTGAAACATGGAAGTCATGCTATTAACTGAAAGCCTGTGTCAAGACTGACTGCACTGTTGCCACAACTGCAAAGGACTTCTCTTTCAATATAGTATAGTAGAAACCTATATAAATATATAACGTAGTTCAAAACATTATTGAAACTGGACAAATCTGTGATTTACTACTTTTTTTTAAATCAGAAGAGGAAGGGTTTTTTATTTCACCCACTGTATTTTGTAAGAATTCACGGGAAAGTCATTATTTATTACACTATATTAAGCAAGGGTCAGTCCGCAGGCCCCTCCAAAGCGGACAAATGGCTCACGACATGTACTCCATCATATAACACACTTAAGTCAGACCACTGATCAATAGACACAAGAGTTAGAAGCCCTAGCAAATAAATGCCAACTATAAAGCGTCTCTTAAAAAGAGTGTTTGAGATAACTTTCACACGCACATAACCTCATTCAACCCAGGCAACTGACCATCCTAAGCAAAGTGGTTAGCAGTCAGTTCCTAGAATAAATCCATGAACAAGAATAAGTGGAAGACAAGCCCTTTAGGAACTTGTATCACACTCATCTGTTAACAAATTAAGTGTCCCACCGTCCTCCCAAAATACCCTTTACACTAAACAGCAACTATCCAACTGCTTTAAGTAATACATTACTATTGAAGTAAGTAATTTATGAGGAAAATACTCAGCAGCGCTCATGACAACTAGGAATGTAAGCAGTAAGTAACCCTTGGGTACACCTGTGTCAGAATACTTGCCTGCTTGCAGGGTACGGAGAATCTGCCACTGTTCCAGCACGCACTGGAAGCGACCCAGGGTAGGAGATTAAGGCTGGTGAGAAGTCTTGTGGAGAGGTGATATATTCAGGAGACTGCGCCTGTTGCGACCGCTGTTGCTGCTGAGCAAGCATCTGCTGCTGTAGGAGAGCCTGCTGATATTGCTGCACCTAAGTAAGATAATGATCATGTTACTACAATTTACATGGGCCAGTAAGAATCTCTTCTGCTAAGCAACGATACCAGCCTTGCAGCCAAATGCACTAAGCACCACCACCACACTCCGGAAAAGCTTGGTAGCCTCAGCAGAAGCAAAAGCCAGACCCGTTCATTGTACGGGTGAGAATAAACTGCCCTAACAGGTCATTGATATCGTTTTCCTCTTCCAACGTATTACCACTTAATTTTTCGTAATCGTAGCATCCTAAGTATATGCTACTGCAGCACTAAGAAGTTAGTTTTCTTCATACCCCATTCTTAAATATTAATAATCAAAATGTCAGGACAATTTCTCCTGACTTTCAAAAATAGATTCTGCCAGTTACCTTTCTCGCTTTTAAGGTCAGAATTTGATGCCACCATGTCTTCTATCACTTCGTAGAATAATACACATTTGTTGCTGTGGTCACTACTGGAAACCTTAAGCACCAAGTATGTTTCAAGTTAGTATATACCTATTTAATGAAGTTGAGGATATATCCTATCTGATTAGTAGAGAACTGCAACTCCAGATAAATTTTTGCAATCAAGTTTGGGTTAACTTTTTTTTTTCCCAACTGAGTATCATTTTAGATGCTCAACTTCCACCATTTGGCACATCCACAGCTCATTACAACTACTCACAAACTTCCCTTACTGCATCTTCACAATAGACTTACAAACACAGCACATTATTTTAAAGACAGTACCATCCACCTTGCATTCCTGACATACCATAGCAGGATACTGAGATTGGGAAGGTTGCTGCTGGTACACAGACTGCATCAACAGCTGCTGTTGGACCATCTGCTGGTGCATTGCCTGTTGATACTGTAGTTGATAAGAAGAAAACAGCTTTAAGTAGTCATGATCCCCCCCTTTAGCAATATCCAGGTATTTAGAAGAAGCGTCAATCAAAGTAACACTTTTGTGACTTAACAGCATTTTTCAGTTAAGACATCACATAACCAAGAATCAGCTAGCAATTCAGTCACTGCATTTTAATGACTCTGTGTTTGGAAGCTTTTGCCCCCCCCCCCCCCAATTAATACCAGCCCATTTAACAAAAAATTAGACTACATATTCAGCACTGCCTTTTCTAGTGCAGGCCCGTTAACATCCCAACTTCTGCCATTTTCACCAGTGCTGAGCCCCTTTGGAAACTAATTCAGCTGTGCTTTAAAGAATAACATGTCTCAACATGGAAAAGAAAGAGTAATCGCAATAGGTGTCTTGGACAAGATCTCAAAGTTCTTCTCTGACCTAGGTAGTACTCTTCTGTTATTTTTACAGTTATTTATGCTACGCAACTTAAGCAATTATACTTGAGGGTATCCAAGCTGAACAGTGTTAAACTACATGGTATCCATGAAAAATCTAGACATACAGAACAACAACAACAAGGAAGCTCTTCACTGACCAGGGGAATTTCAAGAAAGCAAAAACTGCAAAAATCCTACTCAGATGGTGTATGTACAACCATCTAGTGCAAGCTTAGCATTGTCACCCAGATAAGTCCTAACGTTTATCTCAAGTACATTTACACATATACAAAACCTTTATTTGGGCCACACAGTGATGATTCAAAGCAAGCTGGGATTCAGGGTCTAACTGCAAAAACAAGACAGCACAAAGAAAGCAGGTTTCTAGGATAAGCATTACAGTGCCTATGAAGAGACAAATCAAAGGTAAAAGGAAGGGGCAGGAGCCACGATCCCTTTCTCTCTCCTAGCAGGAAAAAAGCAGGCCACAACAGCAGAAATCTTAACACATGATTCAAAGTGTTATTAACAAGCATAATATGCCACTTAAACTTGTCTAACATATTTGACTCATACCTGCTGAATGTAAGCATCCTGTATTGTAGGTTGCTGCTGCTGGTGATGTAAATGGTGTAGCTGCTGTAGCCTCCAGTCGCCCTGCTGCAGCTGCTGGAGAACTCTGTTCTGCTGCGGGGGGTGCTGGTTGGTCCCTTGGGACTGTAAGATTTCTTGTCCGTTCCCTGGTCGCACGGTTCCTGTGATATTCAGGCAACACCACTGACATACTGATATCTAAAGTTTAGCTAGAGACCTCCCTGGCAGTGAACCTCTTTAGCGCTTCATGGTGAAACAGTTTATAAGCTTCCCTTCCCCGTCTGACAACTGGTAGATACTAACTTCACTTCTCCTCTCAATGCACAATTTCCACTTACAAGATGCGGGAAGCTTACTTTGGTCGCACGACAGAGGAAGCTGGGTTCAAGACTTCTGCTTTACTGACACTTAAGTTGTATCAAAGCATACAATTTTGTATGCATACTTCCCCCCCCCCTTAAGGGAACTATTGGCTTACTGGTCAAATTCCCTTAAACAGAACACCTGATTAATTTTGTCTTTCAAGTGTTTTTCTAGCCTTTTAAGTAAGCAGTTACTAACATAAATCAACATCTCTTGCATGCTGTATTTATATTCTGAAGTGCCCAGGAATCATGTGTTACTTATCATAACAGGCAAAGCTTTCCAAGTTGGATATTATTTGGATCCTGTCTAGTAAAAGTTGTTTACACCTGGGAAACACATTCTCAGTGCCTTTTAATTGGAGGCTTTGCCAAGATCGTCCCTGAAGCTACTCTTCCTGACTGTAATAGACACATAAGATCACAAAGAGCAACTAGGAAAGCTTACAAGATACAAATGAAAATTATTTAGCTGAAATATTTATCAGAACCATAACTCTTTTTGAATGAGACAACAAAAAAACCTCACAAAGGATTTATTTAAAACCCATTTCACTCAATTGAATCTCCCTCAATTACTCCTCTGTTGCCCTCTATTGCACCCACAGTGCCATGTGAAATGCATCGGTCAACCATTAGAGAAGTGAAGTTTTTACATGGTTCCAGCCCACAAATAATACCAACATATTGTTGATATCTCTTGACTTATTGAGGCAGAGGGAAAATATTTTTCCTACTACAACGAAAGCAGTTTGTTACAGAAGAGCTCAATGCTTTCCATGACTTATTTGAAAATAAAAACTAAGCACGAGCTTCTCTCAAACAGACCACAGTGGGGAAGTTAGTTCAATATCAGTGTTAAGCACAAAGAAAAAAATACCTTCACATCTCAACAATTTGCATTTAGTTTTTGTGGCACCTACTGAAACTTTTTACTTGCACGTTCAGAGTCTATCGGAAAGGATGAAGATTTGGGTTTTGGCATATAAAAAGCTAACAGATGAATGGAGTTTTAAATGTTATCCCTACTAGAGCAAAAAAGAAAAAAAAAACCCACCCCCAAAATTCATTCTTCGTTTATTTTAGTCCATCCTTTTACTCTCTTCAGTTACCTTTTTGCCCACGATTACCAAATTCACCAGGAACTTGTACTTTGACCGGAGTTACTGAGCTCTGGATCGTCAGCACACTAGAAGTGGCAGTGCTTGAATTGGCCTTTGGTCTTTGTCGCGGTGCAATTGAGGTTTCTGTTGGTCCAACAGTATCTGTTATTCTGAAACGGCAAGTTTTCCCATGGAAGAAACTTGATAAAAAAAGACTGTTTCTTCTTCAAATTAGACACAGTATTATTTCTTAACAGCTCAATTATGTCTTACCCATGTGCCGCTCTACTTCTGAATTGGATTTTAATACTTTGAAATTTGCTTCCTAAAATTCCACTCGCCACCCATTGCAGCCATAGAATATACAACCGCTGCAGAACAGCATTAAGAAGGAGCTATGCAATGGACTTATTACCAAGGAGACCGTTTCCTCTGTATAACCTTTCCTCAGTTCACACTAGCGAGTGAAAGTTATGTCCAGCGCTTGAGTCGGCAATCCTATGACTAGAGATATGACTACTTCTCATACATACAGGAAATAAGGTTAAGAAAAATCTCTTCTGTTAAGTTCACTCATTTCTACCTTTTGTTAAGAGATTTAACCTCCAGCAGTTTAAACACTCAAACTGCTCAAAATATTGGCATCTCCCCTGAAGCACTTCAGAGCTGTGTAACAGGCCACCAGGGTAATAAAGATGTTCAAAACCAAAGTACTTTTGAGCTTTAATCCCATTAACGGGTCATAGTAAATGCATTTTTTGAAACTGTCCAACTGCTTAAAAACACTAATTCAACATCTGAGCTCCAGTAGTTAACACCCCATATTAGTTCCTAACACATTGTATCAAGACATCATCTGCCTTAACCTGCTGTAACTGAGGGCCATCAAGAAAACATTATTTAGGAAGAACTATAAATCTTCCTACTATCATCTAGCAGATTTAGTTGGGAGTTTAAAACATTTTTCCATAGATACTCTGTGCTTGCCCTTCATCGTACATTACCAACTGTCAACAGAGCCAGAAAACAACCACATCCAGACTACAACATTACCTTAAAATGGCAGAGACACATCTACAAATCTCAAACACGGCTAAGATGAGCCCATTCCTTTGCTTCTCATTTACAACAGGCTAATGAAGTCAGAGTTGAAATAGAGATGATAATTGTAGCTGAATATAAAAGTACTTAGGTCGTACTTGTTGGTACATTCAAAACTCAAACAACTTCCATTAACAAGGAATGGAAGTATAAAGGATTCTTCCAGCATTAGCATTCAGTGTACACCATATACCGCAGCAGAAGTAAAAAGCATGAACAGGAATTCCTGAGGTTTTAATCTTGTTCTTATTAAGAAGTACAGAAAAAGGACTATTTTGGTATAAAAATAGGAATTTTTGAAAGAATTACCTTCATCAATCAGATTTGATTTGCACATTTAAATGAAACTCTGCATAACAGTTTAACTGTACCATATTATCCTCACCTGCCACTAAAATCTTTTATTTCAAAATTCACTTAACATACTAAGAGAAAATAAAGCAGACCAGAAACAGACTGCCAGCTCTTACTTATTCCACCACCAAACACACTCTCATTTTCTCTCCATGGATTCTCAATACAATAAAAAAAGCAATGCAGTGGAATCCAAAGAGAGACTTGAAGGTGTTAGAATTCCAGTTTATCTTTTGTAATGACCTCTGCTACTAAAATAATTTTTCATTTATCAACAAGCACATGAAAACAGGCCTTAGACAAACAGGTAGCCTAACAATATAGGAAAAAAAAAACTAACCACATGCGCTTCTCACCTTGCTTTTATTTGGCTTTTTCTAGCAGCTGCCTCACTAGCTGTCATGGGTTCAGGAAGAGTTGAAGGGACAGGAGAATTCTTGGGAAAAATAAATTTGCATAAATTAAAAAAATGAAATCCTGAAAGAAAAAAATCATTATATATTGAAGAGGAATACTTGGGTTCAAGTTCTTTCATGTTACATGCAGAACTCACTCACACAGCTGTAGATTAAAGGTGTTTTAATTTAACAGTATGTCTGTGTTCTCTTACCTGCTGCGAAAGTAAAACAAACACATTACTGATCTGACTGTTTTATCAGCTACTTCACTTCTTTCACACACTACCAGCTATCAACAATAACACGTCCCCAAATGTTTTCTTGTAACTAAACAACTTACTTTAGTCTCAAGTTTAAGAGCTAAAACAAAGCCTAACATTTAGATTAAACAGTAGTTTTTTAGCCCACTCAGCTCTTCTACCTCAACACAAATTGCACAAAACCATGCAGCATCTAAGCTTCTATGGTCCTTTAACTCATCCCCTTCTCAATCAAATTCCTGAATGAATTACTTTTCACCTAAACCACCTTTAACCAAGGAAAATGGCAATTTTGGGGCATGGAGGAAGAATATTATCTCTAATTACGCACACACTACCACCTTATGTAAAGGACTCAAATCTAAAACTGGTCACAAATAGCAGAGACCGAGTTAATTATCAAATACTGCTTCTGAAGGGTACCATCAGTACTGGATTTAGTCAACAGTCTAGTAAAGAGACAGGCAGGCGTATTTCTGACTTTCCCTTGAAAAGAAAACAAGCTGCTGTTTAAGACAGGATACTGCAATCAGCCAGCCTCTCTTCTAACCTGTAACGGTTGTTCTTACATTCTCACAAAACTTCAAGGGGGAGGGTCGGAGTGTCCACGTGCACATTTCTGTGCTACTGCTCTTTTAAGGCAGCCATGAGTGCTAGAGGGGCAAGCACTAACAATGGAAATCAGCAGAAACCAGGGCATAGACTGCTACTCTTACAGCTGGTTTAGCACCCCAGTGGAAAAAACACACCAAACAGCTTGCTTCACTTTGCAAGAATACTCCAGGTACTTTCACTTTCCTATGTCTATCAGAGGGCAAAGGGCCAAGTAAGCAGGCAATTCCTCTCTGCAGGGGAAAAATAAAAAAGTCCAAGTAACAGACATATACTCAAGTTACTTGAGTGAAGTGATACTACTCCTCAAATGAGTAACGTAGTAAAGTCTCAAATTATGTTACGTCAAGACAGGCTCATATTTAAGGATAAATTGAGGAAGAGTACAGTTTTCGCACCTCCTATTCACGTGCTGCAACAGCATAACGCAAAACCATTCAAACCACGTGAAATTCAGCCTTTGCCTACAAACATTAAGTACTTAAAAGATTTTCAGGTTTTTAACTTAAGTTTCCAAAAAGCAACCCTCACATTTATCGAGCACTTTCTTCTACAAGAATCAATGATAAAGGAATTCAAAGGGATCTCCGCAAGTTCACTTTTCTGCCTCTGAAGGCAGACCTTACTACAGTTGACATTTGTTCCAAAAAGAATTTTGAGATGGATTTTTCCTGATACCTCTTGAGAATCACTTTATAATACTGAACATCATTGATGTGCCCTCAAATTCCATTGCACAGTAATTAGATCTGTGAGTGAGATGATCTTTGAGAGAAAGCTCAGACTTTCAAAGAAAGTTCAAACTCACATGGAAAATAAGGATAGGAATACAGGCTAACCAAGGCACTATTCTGTTCGCCTTCCAGTTCACCGTAGTCCTTCCAATGGATTAACGTAACGGCTAAGGATGATTAAGAACAAGAGTTTATCCAGAACAAACAAAAAAAAGCTCTTGACGCTACAGTTACAACATTAAACCTTCTTTGGCCAACAAGTTTAAGTTCTGTAGTATATTTCGTATTAATTGTGTGAGACAAGAGATTAGTAATGGTTAAAACATTGTCAGGTATTGGTGCAGTATCAATATAATTCATGAAGCTATGCCCTCAAAACTTAAAAATATTTTGTTTAGGTAGCTAATATTGCAAGTACACAATATCAGCTCTAAGCATACTCTGCTCTATGTTTTATAATCTAGGAACAAGGTTTACGATGGAATTGAAATAATATTTCCAGCTAATTTGATAGACTTCTCTCAATGCCACCTACGAAACACACTGAAGAAAGAAAAAAATTAAAGATTACTTACATTAATGTTAGACACTGGACAATCCTTTTTGGCAAATTTAAAGGCAAAGAAAGATACTTGAAAGATATCGGGTCTCTGTTCTTGATCTGGTTCAAGCATATATCCTGCAAAAATTGTTAAGACCAAATTATCACTGTTGGATATCAAAAAGCCTGTTGAGATAGCATGCTACCATCAAGAAGAAATTCAGCAGCTCTGCCGAATGACCTTACCCCAGAGTCAGTTTTATTGTTATATTGGTTTTGGGGTGTGGTTTTTTAGTACTTTTTGTCAAGTCAAATAGTTCCTAGGGTCAAACACAATTCGAGAATACGTATGCTGTTTGATATTTTGACACTCAGTTGTGGAAAGGGTAGCTAAACTGAAGTAATAATTAATAGCTTCAGAGGGAAACAACAGAAAACCAACTCACAGTCCTAGAATTTTCTAGGGTTAATAGAAAATTCAATGTAGCTAACAGAAGATCCACAGCTACATCTAACTGTATCAGGCTAAGGTTCTACATCATATTTTGTCTTGCAGGTTTAGTTGGCCTTGCATGCTTTTGTATATTTAAGAAAAATATAGTTCCACAGATAAAAGGACTTTCTCCTGACAAGACACAGAATTTCACATGTCCTCCCCAAACATTAGCTTCCCAAATTACAAGGTGTGCTGTTTTTCAAGCAAATCGAAGTTACTGTGTACTGTTTACTATACGATACTGAGTACACAATCAGGAAATCTTGCCTAAATGACCCAAGAACCCAAATAAACAGCGAAAGATATTTTCTAAGCAAGTTAACCCCCTAACAATACGTTGAGCTACAAAGAAAATGAACAACCTACAAAAACTTAACTTCTCAGTTTTGATGAGAAACTTGAGCTACATTTCCAAAACTGTTCAGTAGTACAGCCAACCTTAAACAAGATTTTGTAAAAAATCTTGAAGTAATTAAAAAAAACTGTATCATTTTAGACAAATATTACAATTTTACTTAAAGCCATTAATTCATGGCCACTACAGTTCACAGCAAGTTTTATTTTTAATGGGTTTTACAAAGTAAAGCAGATTTACACTTGCAACGATGGCACCATTAAGTGGAAACAGAACGCTTATCACAAAGTGACTCCTGCCACTTGATTCTGATATCTTAGATATATGAAGTAGAGAATGTTTAGCCTGTCGCTCCCCACTCGCCACCTTGTAGAAGAGCTGATATGAAGCCAGAAGTCCCTGACATACTTTTTATGACCAACTGCAGCTTTTTTGGCTTTCGTTCCAAATCGAAAGAAGGAAAGTTTACATTACGAGATTCTTCCCCACCCACATATATTCCATGCCAGCAATGCTCATCTTGGCACAGCACTTCATGAACCTTAATAAATCAGCCCTCATACTTACAAGATGACAGGATTAAAACCTGTAGTCTTCCAAAAGTAGCATTGTGACACAGAGAAAAGTACTTCAAGACTTGAAAATTCATCTCATTTTGCCAGTTATTAAGTATTTGTAGAAGGTAAATGCTTACCATGGTAACCACTATTTCTTTATTATTAATGTGCTGAAAAAAGTGGTTTGGATTTAGTATTTCCTATTATATAAAAGCACAAACTATGTGGTCAACACATTCGTAACTCAGAAATAAATTTCAAGAGCTCCTATTCAAACTTTCTCAATTTCTCATATTCTGTCAGTTGCACTCCTCCAAGTTTAACTGCTCAAAGTTCAAAATAAAGACCAGTGAAAATACTCACTATTATTGTAAATATTCAATCCTGTATCTCTCTACATGGATAACAGATCAATTGACCTTGTTGTTGTCCTAAATTTTCCTTCACACTCTTTGAGCTTTGAAGCTTTTGCCAGAGTTCATGTCCAACACTTAGGGTTGCATAAACTTCATCAGATTTTTCTTCTGTTATAAATCATGAAACTACAATAAAAGTACCCCCAGTGCAACTCATCTCAATACATGTAAGTTTCTACACTAAACTTGCACTTCAAGTTCATCTAAGCACAACTGTCTAACTTGGACAGATAATGCTATTAACTGTCTGATGTTCCATAGAAAATACACACTTAAGTGCAAAAAGGAACTATGAGTAAATTAAGAGCTTCTCTTCATTCCCATTATCCCTTCGTGGTTTCCCACTACCTAATAAAAAAAAACCAAAAGTCATCCACGCCTCCCAAAGAAACCAAAAAATTCTTTTAATTTCAGCAAAGCTCTTCTGAGTTGAGAAGTACAACTTAATCTGGCAGGTCTCTGCACCATTTTATTCTGTTTCAATTCTGAAGTTATCAACTCATCCACTAAATGCCCAGAATACAATAGCCAATTTTAACACGTCAGCTGTGCAGGAGAAAGACTTGTTCGTACTTCATTCACCTGGCACACATTAAGTGCCATTTCAGAGAAGTTTCCTCTAGGTATCTGAAATTCCCCTCTAGGCCAGCACCTCCATTCTGTACCCTGTGGCACAGTCCTCCGTTGAGCAAACCGATACGCAAGCCTCCTTTCAAGGGCAAGTACAGGAGTTACAAGACAAATAGTAGCCAAGAGCAACTCCCACTGTTCACTGAACAACCCAGCCAGTCTGCATCAACCATCCAAGCCACTCGCCTCCATTAGCAGGATCTTCTGTTTTATTTGATTTATGAAGCAAAAGAATTGCCATGCTGCCCAGATACTTACTTATCAAACAGTGTATACTATGAGAGTATCGGGAATTGTCTGGAATGGTAAAGCTTCCATCGCAAATAGCAACTTGACTTTCTCCAAAGGGAAGCGAGAAGAAACAAAGTTTATACAGCAAGCAGCCAAGTGCCTGTAAAAAACAAATACAGGCACCATAAAGGGTTGAGAGTAAGGCTTTTTGCACAATAAAGCAGCACCAACAAGAAACAAATTGCACCCTAGCTACAGCTGAAGCTTACACTGTTATGTAGAAGCTACATTATGAAACACTTTATTCATGTGACAAGCTGATACATCAAGTAGCTCTAAAAAGGCTTTCTTTCCCACTGAATCCTATGTTCAACAACGAAGTACCAGAATTAGAGCATAACCCAAGAGCTGCACTAACATTGTCATATTACCCAGAGATACCAGTAGCATTTCTGCTGAATTTAGTCTTTATTTAGTTCACTGCACACCACCTAATAAAAACACCTTTCCCTATCATGCTGCCAACAGGTTTCCACGAGAAATCACTGGTGACTATGAAGCAGCAACCTGAGTGACAAGAAGGAAAACATTTCTAAATCATGTCCCCCTTAACTCAAAATGATCATCAGACATCGAATTTATTTTATTTACAGAAGACATAACTACCAAAGATACCTCTACTATATTCTACGTTGTATAGCTGCACGATATATTTCGCTTCCAGATAATTAGTTTTTCAAATAGCCAATGCTGCTTTTAACTTCCCCCCACATCTCTTAATTAGTACCTGATTTTTTGCTTACCCAGATATCTGCCTTGGTAGTAATTGGTTTTCCGCCATAAAGATTGATCATTTCAGGAGCTCTGTACGATAGTGTTGTATACCTAGCAGTATATAATTAAAAGAGAACATCGATGAAAAGCGTGCCTCGGAACTAAAGGAGTGTTTTCCTGCATCTGCCACACGCACATCATTCACACCCAAGTTTCAGATATGCACCTGGAACTGTCGTACACAATCCAAGTCATTTATTGCATTTACAGCATCACACAGAATATTTGGAGTAGCAACATAAAATTATCATATGCAAGAATAAATATTTAAGTCAGCTAAAACCTGCTTTTAATGGTATTTCCCCAGCACATATACTTCTGCAAGAGTCACTCTGCTTAAGTACTGCCATAACCAGTCATTTGAACGATGTAGTGTAAGAGTATTACCTATCACATAATGAAACAAAGAATGCAGACTTCAAAAAAAACTAACATCTCAAAGTAATTACTAAACTGGTAGTCAAAGCATTTTTAACAGCTGGGAAAAAAACCCATATCACTTCATAACTTGAGAACAAATAGCCTGTATTTATTCCTCTGCAGTAGTTAGCCTCAAGGGGCAAAACCGAACTAACACATTTTCAAAAGTGCGTCTGTAATAAAAGTTCAAATATTTTTCTGATCAGTCTTAGAAGAATCAACATCGACCTTACTTTATAAATAAGACTGTAAGTAAATCCATTCCAATGCTTATTAACATCAGTTCTTTTTCTTTCATACAATTAGCTGTATTAAAATAGCACAAATTTAAAATATCAAACTCCTAAAATGGCCAGTAGTAGCCAGACAAATATTTTTGAACCATTTAATTTCAGAACAGCATGCTTTTTTCCAACACTTTTATTCTTGAGTATCAGTTTCGCAAAAACAATCTGTGCATAAATGGAAGAAGTCTATGTTACCAAATAGTTCCCATGTTTTACTATATTTATGTCAACATTCGTTTAAGTTCAACCACGAAGTTCAATTCATAGTAAGATACATGCACACTGCACAATAATACATGGAGTTTCCTGCTTATGATAGGTCACATAAAAGTGAACTTACTTTTTAATTTCTTCTTCAACCAAGTTAACACCATCTTTTTGAGGATTAAGGTATTTGTTAGTGGCACTGCCAAAATCACAGAGAACATAGCTCCCGCTGTCATTTAACAATATATTCTCCACCTTGAAAGGAAATCAACAAACAGAAACATTAGATGAAAGTAATGGCATTAATTTCAAAGTTTACTGTTACTATGCATTCTCACACACAAACAGGAAAGTTAACAGAAAAATCAATTGACAAACTTGCCATTAGCAATAACTGACATGTTACGGTTTAGTCTCTCTGTTTACAGCTCCACCAACAGCAACTGCTTCCCTAACTACAAGTCAGTCTTACTGAACTATCTCCTGTAGTCTCAATCCTTTTTAAGTAGATCATTATTTTAAACCTCAATGTTTCTTTGTATTAAGTTCATACCTTTAGATCACGGTGAACTATAGGCGTTTTGCACTGATGCAACCGAGCAACAGCTTCACAGGTATCACAAAATATTCTCATTACTTCTGACTCAGTAAAGCCTGTCTGCAGACGCTGATTCATCTGATTCACAACTTGCCCAGCTAAAGAAACAATAACGTAATATTTTATTTTTTTTAGTAATTCCTATCATGTACAAAAGTAAAGAATTATCTATATGCAAGAAGTCCACAAATAACATGCAAGAAAGTTTTCCACAGTCACTGTATTTAAAGAAAACAAACCTGGTTTTCCAAACACGCACTCTTACATCATCCTACATAGAAAAATTACTGTCTCAAATGAAAAAAAGAGTCCCTATGACTGAAACCCATTTGGGACCAATTGTCACAAACACAAAGAAGCATCCATCAGACAAAGATGTTACCTCAAAAGCATGTCTTGCATTTAGATCCATAGCCAAAACCCTGGCAGCCAACCAAGCTTAATTTAATTTGAATTCTAGACACCCTCTCTGTCTTTCTGGAAGACAAAGGCGGGGGGTAGGGGGTGGGAGGAGGAGGGGAAAGAGCCCAAATCCACCCTTTCAGAAAGACCTCACTTCACCTCTTCACAGGTTTCTTTCTAAGATCAGGAATCATTATTTGCCTGTTTCTTCAAGTAATTTTACCCAGATAATACTAGCTCTTCCTACCACAATGCTCACTTAAGACTAAGAGACTAAGCAAGACTCATTATCTGGAGGGCCTTGGTGAGCGTTCCATCGAAACAAGGGCGCTTTGCAAAAGAAAACCCTAACACTGTCAAGTCATCTGACAGTTGACATCCACATGGCTATTTACCTTTATAATTAAAGAAAGAGTGCTACCAACAGGGAGTCAGAAGTGAACTCCCACAAGGGTACAGAAATTCACCCATACAGCAGGGCAGAGGGCCAAAAATGCAGCCATTAGTTTTCATGTTCTCCTTATTCCCTTTCCTAAAACATACATCAAGAATGTCTTTAGCTCCTGATGGTACAGATTGCACAAGCTGCATCGTTTACTGCTTCTACTGCAAATAAAACCAACATAAACCTCAACTTAAAGTATTCTTCAAGCGTTACAATGGGGTGGGTTTTCTTTCTAGTGCAGAAATACTTAGTTTGTTTCTGTAGCACTCGTTCTTCCATCATCACCTATTTGGGTTAACCACCATCTTGTATTATTAGGTTGGGGTCTAGTCACCCTAAATTTTAGATAAACTTCAAAAGTTAAACTCAATAGCGAGTTTATTCCAATGCATTTGTGAGGTGGGGAAAAAGAATAATCTAGAAACTACCTGGTTTTATATATTATTTGAAACAAAGTTACATTATAAAGCAGGACCACAGGACTTTTTTTTTTGGCCAGCATTATCAACACTATACTATGCTCATTTATAACCAGTCACCTGTCAGATAACAATATTAAAGATGCTTTACTCTTATCTTAAACAAAAACAGCAGAGGGAGAACAGCAGCAAAAACCTTGCCAATCTTTCCTACCCAATTATGTTCTAGCCACAGTTGATTGGCACAAACAGAAGAGAAGAATTTCACTCTATACCTATACAAATAATTTCCCTGTTTCTGATCATACTTAATTACAAAGCCATGTGAAACTGACTTCTACATTTTCTCAGTGTTCAACAGGTCAGTGCCTAAGTAACAACACAAACAGAAAAGCAAAGAAAATTGGATTCCAGCTGTGATATATGTATGTTAACCTTTTATATTAAGGGAACAATTCCAAGTAAAAATCCCAGGTGATCAATACAAACATTTTCCCTGCATTTACCCTGAAAACCTAAGAGTTTTCTTCTTACCTCGACAGTACTCCATGAGAATGAGTACCTCCCAAACATTATCACTTATGGAGTTAACAGCACAATCCAAATAGCTTACAATATTCTTGTGCCCAGATAACTCTTTCTGGAAAAAAGAAAGAAAATTTACATTACACTTAAGCACAGAAAAATTTAAACAAATAAAAGATAGTACAAGTTTCCAGACAACCATTTAGGATTTCAAGTAAAGTTACCCCCTGCCCCATATCCACCACTCTTGAGAAAGTACCACAAACGCAAAACATAACCTCATCACTGCCAGCTATGTCAGAATGACTGCTATATATCAAACGCAATGCAATTACCATTCAGAAAAGAACATTCACGTGCTTTTTACTGGGCAGTGCAAACACATCCTAACTGCTGCATTCTAAAACAACGTTGTGAACTAGTAATAACTACAGCCTTGATATGCAGGAGATGTAGAACCACCAAGCTACTTGTGCCCACGCTAAGTTAAACTGAAAAACAATCATTCATTTATTAAAAAAGGTAACTGGAAAAAAGCCGCAACTGGTGTAGTCTGAACTATTACAAAGTTTTACAAAGTTATTACACACAAGCAACTGAAGGTGTCTGCAAGGAGGAAACGAAACAACTTGAGCCACTTTAAATCTGGAATTAAGCAATGCTTATTTCCTATCTGACTATACAAGTGTCATCATCTATACTACAGAGTTTCTGCCTATAAGATAACATAAGGTTTACGTTAAAGTACCTCATATATAATTAAACAGGTGCTGCTATGATTAGAACATGTGTAAGCTAGAAGTGTACGGAGATGGAGGTAAATAGTCTTCATAGTTCCTGCTAGAAGGCAATATAACATATTTTCTCTTGCCCAGTCCGCAACTAATTTGATTTTTTTCTTAAGTTTTTTTTTAATTTGTCAAGTAATCATATACCTAAGTGTGCCTGACTAAACCTTCTAATTTCTCCTTATTTGCTAGTCATCTGCTGAAAAACAACAGAAACTCTGATGATGTAGGGGAGTTAAGGTACACACACACCAGTTACCCCAATACTGGACCGCAACTTGGAGAACATGCTTACGACTGCTCAGGACAACAATACTTCTGGAAGCCACCAGCAGCATCATTCAGTTAAGAGAGCTGTGGCACATGGAGGCCTTGAGAACTTAAGGTACCGCTGCACACCTGGAAGAAATTACTTCTGCTTGGCAACCGGATGTACTGACCAAATCGACCACGGTATCAAATCCGCCTTTTATAATTGCTAAGTTATTCATGCACCAACCCTAAACTCGGCATTAGTTGCAGAAACTAACAGTGCAAAATCGGGACTGCAAGGTCAAAAGAAAAGGTGGTCTAGAAGCAATTATCATTTAAAAGGCATTTGGTGTACGTATATTACAAATGAATACATTCTCCAGTTACAAATAATGACCTTCTTACCATTATGGTGATTTCTCTCTTGCATACGTTGAGATCCGGCACATTATTAACATACATTCGTTTCAGTGCACAACGTATCCCACCATGGGTACGTACCAGAAACACAGTTGAGAAGCCACCTGGAAAAAACAATTACAAGCAAATGAAGCTACTTGAGTTTTTGTATTCCTCTAGCCAACACCACTACACGTTAAGAAATGCATAGGAAAGTCTATGGCAGTCACTGAGTTAAGAGTAACGAACACTTGAAAAGTTACAAAGATTTGCCACCTCAACCCATTTCACATAGGTGAAGTATTCTTGACAAAAGCCTAAGAACGTTACTATTCTGTTACAACATTAAACAAATATATTTGAAACGCATTTTCACATTCAAATATATCTATCAAGCCCAATGCAAAGTCTGTGTATTCAGGTATCAACCCTCAAGTACCTTCAGAGTCATTCAGAAACCTGAACAAAGCCAATGTATTCTCCAGATCTTCACAAATTTCCAAATCCCCTGATACTTGATAAAGGTTATTATTAATTCCCTAAGCCTATATTTTTAAACAGAGAAATTAAAACACTAAAAAAAGATAGTCTTGAGAGATACCGAAGAAGTCATGCAACTTTTCAGCACAGCCTAAAAGACAGATGGAACCTCCCTGCAATCACAGACAGTGCAAGCAATCAACTCTGAAGTAGTGTTTTTATTTGAACCCATACTAACTACCCAGTTAAGAACTAAACATTTTCCCACAACTAGTCCCATCAGGAGCATTCTTAGTCCCAACAGCAGCATGAACTACGAGTCATATACACTCAAGCCCACCTCCCAGCTTCCCAGGATGAGGTTTTTCTTGTTCTCTTCACTGGTAGAAAAGAATCATGTAGACAAGAATTACACACAGAAGCAAAGTGAAACAGCCTACACTTCCAAACATTCAGGCAAACCCAAGGGAAAAACAACACTCTGCTGTTTTATCTGTCTGTTACCTTTAAGTACTGCTCAAGGCGTCAAGCAGATTACATTAGCATCCCCCAAGGTTCACACACACAGCTTTCCCACAGTTTTAGGCAATCTGCCTCATAGAAGAGCTCACGTAAATCCGTACTTAATTGACTGCTGTCTGATGGTAAGCCAACTATTACCACGGGAACTTTCAACTAGTGCAAAAACTCAGCTATACAATCAGGACAGAAATATGTAAATTAAAACAATTAACTACTCTGATATTCAGGCAGGCAATTGAAATGCACGCATTTCACATTCCCTGATAGAATCTGCAAGCAGCATTTCACATTTCCTGATATAATCTGCAAGCAGCATTTATTAAGCATAATACACCTCATCTGATACAAGTCTCATGTGCTTGAGTAAACGTGCACGTAGTAATTCACAACTGAAGCAGCTAAGTTTTATTAGGAAATTTTCCTGATGATTAAGTATATAATATTTTTTAATTTAATTGCTCATTTAGCCAAATGAAATGCTACACTGTCACAACAGGATTACTGCCAATTTTAATACAAGAGCTGAAATTCTGCAGAATTATTATACTTAACCTAGTTCACGTAACAGGGCATTCCCAAAACATTAACATGACACCCACTCTGAAAGTTATTCAAGCTCTAATGCCAAACTCCAGCTGGGGCTGAAATGATCCTATAGGGCTCCCCTAATACCAGCCTGGGGAATAATACTCATAGCGATGTGCAGACCTTCGGTAGTGGAAGATTTTTTTGTACTATCCTCTCAATAAAAAGAAGCTTTTTTTTTAAGCACCAATATTTGACCAAAAATGTAAAGCAATACTCAGGTAAAGCGCAAATGTCTAACGATTAGACAACAAAAATAACTTCTTGGTTTTTTAACCAGTTTTGTAGCCATAAAATTCTCTATGACTAGCAGGAAGACAAGAACAAAATGCCGGATTTCAAGTTTCCCTGACAAGGGTTTTTATGTAACCAGAGCAGACGTGACTGGATAAAAACAATCAGTAGAAAGTAGTGAAAAAAATCTAAATTCTCAGACAACTGCTCTTCTTGCCATTAGGTGGCAGTATTAACCAAACTTGAATCCTCAAGAAGACCTAAACGCAGACCTATTCCCCATTTCACCAAAAAGTAAGTATGTGACCTTGAATTGTTTTCCATTAGTAAATATCACCACTATGGAAATCCTTTCATCAAAGAGCCAAGTGGCATAACTCTGAACAAAACTTGAATAAGTATATTACTATTTACAGAAAACCTATTAGTCACCAATGTTCTGGGAATCTTTACTCAGGAAAATCCCAAACCATTAAACTTTAAACTTTTTCAGTCACTTCTGATGTTCAACTTCTCACTGAAAGCACCAAAGCAAGCAATAATCAGTGCTTTAAACATTCATGACAACTCTTCTTAAACATTGCTAAAGGTCAGGGTGGAGAAGGAAGCAAGTACATATGTGGCCTTGTGCTATACAGAAACACTACCGCAAATAATGAGTACTTGCTTTGCCCAGAGACTCAAGATGGCAGACTGAACAGAACTACACTTCCACATGTCCATCAACCTAGGAGCTGGCATTTCACCAACATTTTCAGAAGCTGAAAATTTTTTCTATTATCTCATAGCAGTGAAGACATATACAGTCTTTTCCATAACACAATGCATCCAAAAAATGCTTAAAACAAAACTGTTATAAGCTATGGTCTATAAAAAGATGACAAGGAAGTTCCAGATGTTAAGCCACCCCCTTCTCTACACACTTCTGTTCTTTACCACCCATCACTACAATTCTGCTTGCCGCCTTAAATTCCTGATGTAGTCAAGTGACAACACCCCCACAGCATCCCACAAGTACCTCCCCATCTTCCCACAGACAAGGAATGCCACAACATGCTGCAGTTGGGCCCGAGTCAGGTATGCAGGCACTAATTAACTAGCACATCATCTTCACATACCAGGCAATGAGCAACAGCTTTGCCAACTCTGAGGCCTTTCCATCAAAAAGCAACATAACAACTTTGGGCAGTCTTATTTATCAGAGCACCAAAGTTTACAGTACCTCTGTTGAAAAATTGACAGAAAGGGCAGTGACCAAAATGTAATAACCTAGTAAATTGCACATGCACTCAGCCTGTCAACAGGTTTGGCAATACAATTATATGAACCTCACTCCCCATACGCATTTCAGTGCAGCAAGCCCTTTAGCTTACTTGTCAGTAAATAATTTTAGATACCATCTAAAAATTGCCACCAACATGTTCAAGACAACAGTTCATAAGGCTACTGGGCACATGCAGAGAGCGTAACGTCACAATCCCATTTTTTCTCCCTCGTTCCACATCCTCAAGAGCCAACTCAAATGCAAATTGAGAGGCCGCAAAAAAGCAACTAAGGAAACCACAGGGCCTCTGACACACTCAGCACTCGAGACCTGAATACAGGACTGACTGCAATTCTGAAGGGACTCGTATGCAAAGCAAAAGCACAAAAAAAAGTATCATTTTGCACAAGGACAGCAACACTCCATTTAGCCAGTCTGTATGGGCCCACATTAACTTTGCAAGAACATCCCATAGACTTGCTGCTAAGCGCGAATGGATGAGGCACCACATTGGGGGGGGCCTCACAACCAAGGCTCATTTCTGTTACTCTCAGACCTTGCCACAAAGAGCTAACAGGATGCTATTTTCCCCTTAGAACACACACGTCCTTTTCATTGTGTGCTGTATCATTAGAATCAAGTTATCTCTACTCCCTCTCCCAGATTTAAGACTTTGTACTGGTTTTGGCTGGGATAGCATTGAATATCTTCATAGCAGCTAGTATGGGCTATGTTTTGCATTTGTGCTGCAAATAGTGTTCATAACACAGGGATGTTTTAGTTACTGCTGAGCAGTGCTCACACAGCATCAAGGCCTTTTCTGCTCATCACACCACTCTGCCAGCGAGTAGGTTGGAGGTGTGCAGAAAGTTGGAAGGGGACACGGCTGGGACAGCTGTCCCAAGCTGACCGAAGAGATGTTCCAGACCATACAACATCGTGCTCAGCATAAAAGCTGGGGGAAAAAGGAGGAAGGAGGGACATTGGGAGTTACAGCATTTGTCTTCCCAAGTAACCATTACACATGACAGAGCCCTGTTTTCCTGAAGATGGCTGAACATCCACCAATGGGAAGTAACGAATTAATTCCCTGTTTTGTTTTGCTTGCGCACACAGCTTTTGCTTTACCTATTAAACTGTCTTCATCTCAACCCACAAGTTTTCTCACTTTTGCCCCTTTCAGTTCTCTCTCCCATCCCAGTGGGGGTGAGTGACCAAGTGGCTGTGTGGGGCTTAGCTGTTGTCCAGGGTTAAACCACAAAAGACTTGTAGGAGGTTAATCTCTTATAGTCTTTTATTTCCATCAAACTCATCGGAGACTTAAATACTCAAAAGTTACACAGGACAGTCACATCACACAAGTCACTTTTCCTTTAAATACTTGCTAAAAAGCCTTTCTATAGCATCTACAGTTATGTAAGTCAGTAGATACTTAGCAGAATAAAACCCTGAAGCTTTGACAGATAAATTCATTACAAAGCTCAGCAAGTTGAAATTCACACGTCTTTCTTACCTTGAACAGTCATTTTTTTCATCTTTACCATCCACTTCTGGGATCTTATTAACAGGCGAACTAGCAATGTTTCAGTCTTTTGTGGCTTTTTTTGTGGTTTTGTTTTAAAACTAAATTCTACCTCAGCCATATTTTCTAGTCTGGTTTTTTCCTATGCATATTTAAGGTCAACCTTGAAAAATTTCAGGGGCCTCCACATTCTGTTTAAGCTTTACCATGTTACATTCCTGAAACTCCAAGAAGGAAACAATATAGCTGTCAGAACTCAAAACATCCTATTTGCTTACTGAGGAAGAACAAAATAAGGCTGAAGAATCTTCCAGTACCTTTACCATCTTTCAGACTGCTGTTCCGTCAAGACAGACTAGAAGAGTATCAACAAAGATATTCTGAACAAAGTCATGCGTATTTTAGATATAAAGACAAGAAGATTTTTTTAATATACCATTAAAACATATAGAAGCACCAAATGTTGTTCCTCCAACTGGCTAACTACTTAACTATATACTCAAGTCTCAAATAAACAGAACTTCACACGCAGAAGGATTTCATCCATAGAGTAATAAAAAATAACCGCTACCCACACCTGTAAATGCTGAACCAGAAATGGTAGCTACTACAGTCACTCTCACAAAACCAGTAAGGTATAAAAGCTTCCCTACAAATACATTAAAACCTGACTGTTACGGAGAGGTGGCTGAGTTCTAAAATCTGTTTCCATTTTGACACAAATAAATACTCAAAAATAAGTTTTTATAAAGCTAATCGTTATATAAAAGTCTGTTTTCAGATACAGTATTTACATCCAGTTTTCCTGTACATCTCAGAAAAGCTGAAATAAATGAATAGATGTGGTAAACAACATATCCTCTTAGTTCTTATGCACCTATACAATCTGGACAGTTAGATATCTAGTAACTTCCTCAACAACTAAATATAATCTTGAGTTTAAAAAAAACAGTTTGTGAGAAAACTAACCCTTAAGAGATGTAAGCCCGAAAAGGGCCTGTCAGGCCAGCATGACTTCCTCCACTACAGCACAGTTCAGAACTGTCTTTACAGTCATTACGTAAAGGTGGTGTTAATAAAGCTCAATAACCTGAAAGATAGTTAATTTATTTCTCATTTGAAGCCAGTTTGCAAGTTCTGCTCTGTTTCATATGACCTTGGCCAGTGAGATGGCCTTGTACACCTCTCTCCACAAAGCTGCATAAACAGGTTGAAGTGCAAATTATTTTCCAGTGATCCATCTACTCACACACACGCTGCTAACCTTCCCCCCACACACACACCCCTTGGCAATGAGATGGCTATCCATCCACACACTGTTATTCTTTAAATTAACAGATCTGACTTTTTTGCCTTTCAGATAATCTAACATACAACAATCATTTAGGCTCTGAATAAACTTCTGCCTTTAGCAATACTTTCACTGCTATCTTACTCTGCATCCCTTGATGCCTAGATCACTCTGTACACACATCTCCTCTCTGTTAAATCTAAAGCCAGAAGTCATCCAGCTGTCTCAATTATATTCCAAAAATCAGGCTGACCTGCAGCCAGAGACACCCTCCTACCGAAGTTACACACCTCCTGAAATTGCATAACCTTCTGAGCCCTATAGTTTGCCAGCCGAATACACAAGCGTGAACCATTTTACAGGCTACGAATGCACTCCAACAGAATAAGACCAGTCCCTCTCTAAGTAGTAGCATAAATGCCCTGCACATAGGCTCCAAACAATATGAAGAAATAAAAACCTTCTTGCAAATACATAATGAAGGACAGCAGAAAGGCCTCATTAAATGTTTCACACACATGCTCTGTGCTGCAAAAAAAAAAAAAAAAAAAAAAACCACAAAACAAAAAAACAACCACAAACAACTCCGAGCTCTATAGCTTTATGGGGTTCCAAGACATCAAAGAAGCCAGCATCCAAAAGAACAGGACACTTATGAAGAAAAATCAGGAAAGAAGTAGTCCTTCTCCACAAGAAAAGCATGACCTCATGAAAAAAACAGCTCTTAATACCCACATGCACTTCAATACAGAGCATTGGGAAAGGCCATTTTTTTAATAACTGTTAAGCACCACATCGATGTTCTATTTTACCAGGAATTTTGAGTAACCTCCTTTCTGCCACAGTTGCAGATGAACCCATGTCAAAAGCAAGTTCTTGCAGCTCAGTTTTGATCACATCTTTACATAGTATATAACAAACAGCTCATTCTTGGAGCTCAGAGCGTACTTCTCCAATCCTGATACACTGCTAACATGCTGCACAGGCCCCTCTTCCATTATGCTGCTCGATTTCTTCTCTCCTGATATACTGCTACAATGCCTGTAACTTGCTAAGTTCATTGGCACCCTGTTAGGATAATTACAGGGCATTTCCTCAAATTATCAGAAAATCCCTCCTTCCCGCAACAAAGGAAGTCCTTCCTCCACAGAGGCAGTCTTCTGTTAGTCAGTACAGATGTTGTATTACAGGCTTATTTATGGGAGCCATAGACTAAGAGCATACACAAGAAATACTTGAGAGTTTTGCATAGAGAACACTATTTAGTTCTTCAAGCTAATAAAATTTTAATCTATTTGTGACAGCAAAACCTTTAAAAACACACAGAACTTAAACATTTGAAAATTTTTAATCAGACTCCAAACACCGTATGATTGTTGAGATGCTACATATTAATGGAAACTTACAATGCAGTTCGCAAGCTTTATGAAGAATTTTTGCTCAAGTACTCCATTTTTGTCAAAACCTCCACAGGGCAAGGAAGCCACTGACCAAGGTTCTGCACTTCCATTCCTGAAGCACCTCTGCATGAGAAGATGATGGGACATCCCATTAATGAAAGTATCAGTTCCCCAGCTATGTGGCAAGAATTCCTGCAACAGCTGCTATATACCTCATGTTGTACACTAGACTTCCAGAGCGTGGGTTGAAGGTCATACAGGTTTCATCAGCCCAGTACGCTGCCACCATTTCATATGCTTCTACACTGCTGCCTCATTGCACCAGTCGTTGCTGGCCCCGAGCTCAGCAAGAGCATTCCAGCTCCCAGGAAGGTGCCGTACGTGAGCTGTCCCAACCACCCTGGCTGTATGGCTGCCAACTGAAGCCCTAAGACCTGTGTTTGCAGAAAGCACTGTAAAGTGGCCTTCCTGCTGAATAAAGGCAGCATTACATGACACTAATCATATATATGCACATTTACATTTTTATATATTCCTATATATGCTCTTGTGTGTGTATTTTTAGTAAAGCGTACTGCACAAGTCTCAGGCGTGAACACAAGGCTCTGAGACATGGCTCCATCCGGAAAAGCAGTTGACAGATGTTGCCTGCAAGCTGAAGAGCTCGGCATTCCCACAACCAAAAGCAGAAATAGCTCCCTACTTTTAAAATAATCCATTTCTACATACACACACACATTTTGGAGCTCTCTATTTCTCCACTTTATTTTAAGCATGCAGACAACGCGTTCCAAGGGACATACCACTGTTCCTTTTCCCACTGCCCACACAAATTCCCACCGCGTAACAATCTGAATATCAGGGCTAGTTTAAACAAGCAGCACTGCTTTCTTCAAACCAGCATCTGCTCTTAAAGCAGCGCTGTGAAAATAGCAGCTGTGAAACGCATACCAACAGGACATTACAGTACACCCCATAAAAAGCAGGCCTGCTATGCATACCTCTATCTGCTAATTGGACTGTTACCCGTGCCGATGAGCAGGCACTCTCACGTTTTATTTCTTCTAGCACCAACTGCAGTCCAACTTAGCAAAAACCTTTGACATAAGCCCCTGAGACTACTTGGGGCATCCAAGACACTTCAACTTACTAAGGTGCTCTGGGAAAGATGAATTAAGGTCTGCTATAGATTTTTGTGAAAAGTTTCCTTATTTAGTAACACCTATGCACCAGACATACCCAGCTGCCAAACTGAAAAAAAAAAAAAAAATTATCTGGTGTTCTTACTGGGACAAGGATGAGCAGTTATGTTGCAAAGGAGAGCATACAAATGCCAAACGCACAAATCACTTCATTTTTTAGCCATTTAAAAATAATTAGATCACCTGATACAGTGTGCAGTCATAAACAAAACCCACAGAAGCCAGTGATGCCAACAGGTACTAATATTTTTATCATAAAGAAGTAGTAAAGCTTTTAGCCCAGCAAAGTTCACATACTTAGAGACTTCAACTTGTCAACTATACTTTCTCTTAACATGAAAGATCCTAAAAGCTTGCTACAGAGAAAAAAATTAACTCTATGCAAATTTAACTGCTACACAGGATGCTACAGGGAGCTGCCCAGAAATCACAGGAAAACTCAAGACAGACAACAGGTAAGACAGACAGTGGGGTGGAGTAGAGAGGAATATTAAAAATATCAGTCCAAAATTGGCATCTTTTTCTTCTTTTAAATCCCAAGAAGTATTCCTATGGCATTGACCTCAACGTTTTTTTCCTCAGTTGTGAAGTTAGTATTCATCAAAAAGCCTTAACAGTAATTTTTAGCCATCACCTCTGACAACACTGTCATTCCCTCCTGGCCTGTAAGGACCAGCAAGGAAGCATGAAATAGTCAATGGTTACACATTGCAGCTTGTTTAGGTGAAGTCCTCTAAATTTTGAAAATCGTATCCTCTGTAAAGCCTCTTCTCTGCTCCCTGCCAACAGGCAACATCCCTCTCAAGGAAAAAATACCTAAAGAAAATGACCCTAAGGCAAGCACATGTGCGTGTGAGAGCAACAAAGATACTATTAACTGGCCTACCTATTCTGTCAACCCAGTATTAAGCGCATTTTAAAAATTGTCATTTAATGAGGTCATACAGACTTTGGAACATTCTTCTTCTGTATGGTGCAAACCTGTTCTAGTCAGCTAGAGTCCTACAGCACTAGGCTGGATTGTCAACTCAAACTACTACAGACACCTCACAAGTTTAAATGCCAACATTACAGTTCTAGATTTAAGGAAGTTTTGTCTGACAGCTGGCCGATCAAGATACTCAAGCTTTGATCTAGCCAACAGCAAAAGGAACAAGGCTCAGCATCCTGCATTGAAGACAACCAAGCTTCATGGTCCTTCAAGTATCCAGGTGACTTGCTATCCATAGTTGACTATAATGACAACACTGCTTCCATGCCATCTTCTGTCTGCCTCAACTATTTTGCTTCTAGAGAAATAAAAATAAACCCCAATTTCCTAATGCAGATAAATTTGCAAACTATTTGAATTTAACACAACTACTGAAATAGATGCACTTGCAATTCCTGCACTATTCTGTCAAGCTTAAGGAAGATGAAACCACACTGAGTAGCTGATTTAATGCATGCTCAAAAAAAAAAAGGGCAAACATTTGATACACCGTGTAATACATCTTATGCATGCAAGACAAAACATTATATTTCTTAGGTTAAAAACGATCCCTTCTTTACCCCATACTCTTGTTAGAAGAAATATGAAAAACCTCTCTACATTTCAATTTCAAGTCAAGCTGCCTGAGAATGTCACAACTGCTGTACAACTTTCATATATTATTTTATCACCTCCTCGTGCTATTCCCTGTTAAAAAAAAAACTAACACATTTACCTCTACAACCATGTTTAACGGATTCTCGTATTTAAGTGAACTAATATTTTACCTTCTCTCATAAGGAAGATAGCACAGAAACTGAGTAGTAGAGTACCAACGGTTCAATTAATTGATAGTGAATATCAAAACATTCACCTCTTTTCACCTCCAGATTCTGCAATCATGTTGTAACAGAAATTACTTCAGAGTACTAAACAGCTCCATTATCTGTACTAACAGAAACTGAAAGTAGGAAATTAAGGTAAAATTTGGCAACAAGTCACAATCTGCTGGGCTTCATTCACAAAGTCAGCTCTTAAAAGTTCTAGGGCTACACTGTCATGCAGAGAGGAAAGGGTACTGGTAGTTTTTTCTATCAAAAAGAACGAGAGCTTTCTTCTCACAGGAACAGGACAAGTATTTGTGTTTTAAGAGATTATCCAGCCTGCTCCCACCATTGGTGGGGACAAGGAAACACTTCGGCACAACATAGAGTTGTCAGAGATACCTTATGCAGTTTACTGTACAAAGACAGCACAACAGTTGGTTTACAGGCACATCAGTAACAAAAGCAAAACAGCATTCAGTTCAGCACCTCCTAGTTCACTGCTCACCAAAGCTCATTTTCCAGTCTGGAAACAACTCTATCTTCTAACAATGCAAGGATTTTCACGTGACTTATACTTTTGAGATGTACAGTAATGCAACCAATCCATTTACTTTCTTCAAATTCTTTCCTTCTTCGCAAATGCACTTCTTGCACATCCCAGTACACTTAAACAAACGTGATTTCTCTTTATAGGGCAGGTCAGCATTTTTAAAGCAAGTTACCTTTGTACAGGCCTAGAAAGTTCTGTCGGCTATTGCTGTTGATTCTCCCATCCACAGTGCATTACAATACTTATAATTGCATCCCTAACTTGGCATTTTTATAATCTCCCTAGCTGGCATAAACCAGTTCTGGAATAAAAAAAAAAAAAGATAGAAGGGCAAGACACACAATCCACACTTCTGAAGCCAAGAAACACTTGTCAAGAGTGACAGCTGTTTGCAGGAGCAAGCAAGACTTTCCCCAAGAGACAGACCTTCATGTCACTGATGCTTCCTTTTCCAAACAGTAGGATTAAAGAACAAACAGAAACTCACACAACAGAACCCTACCAACCAACCCGAACATTGGGGTTTTTTTTGGTTAAGGTCGAGACTGTTGACTCAACATTTATGTAAGGGATTATGCTGTGTAATCTAGGCCAAAACATTTAATTCAATTCCATTTCACCAAGCCATTAAACCTCTAGTCTCTCAAACTTTAGTACACTAGACATACCGTGTTACTCAAGATGTAACCAAGGTGATGCCTTTAGGCAGGATGTGCTTCCTGCCCAACTTTTCACAAGAAAGGTTGTCAACTTGTCCAAGACATTGGTAAGATACCTGTCACAAGCATCTGCTAGCACAGTTAAAGAAGAAAAAAAACACACCAAAAAAACCAACTTTGAACAGCAGTTGTATCTTCAACATGAGAAGGTTTTTTCGCCCTCCCTCCCAACTTCGTTTGTTCACTGAATTCAGCTCCATTTGTAGTTTACTCTGAACTGAAAACAAAGGGAGTTTGAAAAGCAGGACAATGACATTATCTGTGTATATAGACTACACAGAAAAATGAAGTTACTCATTGTACAACACTGACGCTATGATCAATAGAACCCATTAATTAATTCATTTTGTAGATTGATTTCAAATGTCTTTTGCTAAGCATTTTTAATGCACACAACAGTTGATTTTTTGAAAAACCTTGATTTTAACTCCAATAGAATAAACAAGTGTCGAAATAAAATAGTTACGGAATGGTTAAATCGGTGGGTACAGATACAATATATACCTAATATGTAACCACCGCAACTTTTTCGGAACTAAACTCCTTTGTCATACTGAATGGTTACCACCCAGTTAAAAAAACCCATACACATACACCCCTTTTCTTTAACTAACTCTTATTTGCTCTGTAGTTTGTCTTGCACTTCCCTTGAAATCACTATTTTAATTAGAATTTAAATATGCAAGCATAAAAATCCAAAGCAGAGAAAGTCAGAGAATGGATCTATAACCTCGCACATGAATAACTCACACACTGAATACCACAAAGCTACCATGGCAAAGAAACAAGGCAAAGCATAAGGTGCCCA